GAAGAAGAAAGAGAAGAAGAAGAAAGAAGAAGAAGAAAAGAAGAAGAAGAAGAAGAAGAAAGAAGAAGAAGAAGAAGAAGAAAGAAGAAGAAGAAGAAGAAGAAGAAGAAGAAGAGAGAAGAAGAAGAAGAAGAAGAAGAAGAAAGAGAAGAGAAGAAGAAGAAGAGAAGAAGAAGAAGAAGAAGAAGAAGAGAAGAAGAAGAAGAAGAAGAAAGAAGAAGAAGAAGAAGAAGAAGGAAGAAGAAGAAGAAGAAAGAAGAAGAAGAAGAAGAAGAAGAAGAAGAAGAAAGAAGAAGAAGAAGAAGAAGAAAAGAAGAAGAAGAAGAAGAAAGAAGAGAAGAAGAAGAGAAGAAAGAAGAAGAAGAAGGAGAAAGAAGAAGAAGAAAGAAGAAGAAGAAGAAGAAGAAGAAGAAGAAGAAGAAGAAGAAGAAGAAGAAGAAGAAGAAGAAGAGAAGAAGAAGAAGAAGAAGAAGAAGAAGAAGAAAGAAGAAGAAGAGAAGAAAAGAAGAAGAAGAAGAAAAGAAGAAGAAGAAGAAGAAGAAGAAGAGAAGAAGAAAGAAGAAAAGAAGAAGAAGAAGAAGAAGAAGAAGAAGAAAGAAGAAGAAGAAGAAGAAGAAGAAGAAGAAGAGAAGAAGAAGAAGAAGAAGAGAGAAGAAGAAGAAGAAGAAGAAGAAGAAGAAAAGAAGAAGAAGAAGAGAGGACTCCTCCTCCTCCCCTTCCTCCGATCAAAACTCCTCAAAAAAGAATAATAATAATAATAATAATAATAATAATAATAATAATAATAATAATAAGATAAAAAATTTTAATAATAATAATAATATTAAGAATACAGGATAAACAAGAATTAGCAGCAAAAGATAATATAAACACTGCACTAATGCATTCACTAAAGAAGTCATCAAATCTGTGATTGGGTAGAGGGCAATAAATGTCTAATAACTGCAGGTTTGCAGTCCAGATTCATGAAACTTAAACTCATACAGTGCTACATCAATCAGCAAGTCCTTTACAGAACGTCGCTCTCTTCACGGCCCACCTGAAAGTATCCCATTTGCTAGCCAACTCTCCAGCCCCATGTGCTTTCAATGTCAATGCATCTTTAATGTCTTGTATCCATCTTCGCGGTGGTCGACCCCTGACCCCTTCCACAAACTGTACCTTCAATCACTGTCTTTTCCAAGCCTTTATACTTTAACTTTCGGGACAGGATGCTGGTCATGAGCCACACAATGCTATGCACCAATAAATGATGGAAAATATGAGACTAAAGATGGGTTTTATACCAGGTTAAATGAACTGAGGAAGTAAGTCCCCAAACATGACCTACTTATAGTTCTAGTTGGGTCTTGAACACAAAAAGGGGAATAACATAGGACTTCATCATGCGAAAACATGGAGAGAGGAACAATGATAGTGAAAAGCTGACAGAATTATTCATCGGTGGAACAGTCTTTATGCATAAAGATATCCACAAGTATACAAGGACGTCCCCTAATGGCAACATGAGGAGCTAGACTGACCACATACTGTACAAAAAGAATTCTAGGACCCCGATACAAGATGTATTTGCTAGAAGGAAACCGGATGTCGGGAGCGACCACAACAAAGTGATTTGTAGAATGAAGATCTCATTAAGAAAAACGCAAGAAAAAGAATGTAAGGCTATTATTTGATTCAGCCCAGCTCAGGACATTAAATGTCAGAGAAAATTATTGTGTCGAACTAAGAAACCAGTTCGAGGAGTTTACCCATCTACCAGAGACAGCAAATATTGAAGAAATTTGGGCACAGTCTAAAGATGCTTATTGCAATGCAGCCTATAAAATACTTAGTATGAAGAAACATGGGAGAGAGGAATTGATATCTCAAGAATTTTCGACAAAACAGAAGAAATAAAAATGCAAAAAAGGCCCCCCCCCCTCCCCCCCCCCCAAAAAAAAAACCCCTAGCAAAGAACAAGTTGGAAAAGATGGCCGCACAGAAAGCATATAATAACAAACACAAAGAAGTAAAGTCAAGCTTAAAGAAAGACTAAAAGGAATACTTGGAACTGAAAGCTGCCAAAAGAAAAGAAGCAGCAATGACAGACGATACAAAAACATTGTATAGAATAACAAAGGATCTTAGAAACATTTTAGCTTTAATGGAGGAAACCTGATAGACGCAACAGGAGACGTAATCACGACGGAAAGAGGAAAGGTTGTGCAATGGGGGATATTTTCACCCAGATTAGAAAGGTTTGTGGGAAGGCCCAAAGTTGACCAAAATACCGAGATATTCCAGATACTCGGATTAAACGAGGTTTTCAAGATAGGTGATGACAAGTTATCACGTGTAACACGATGACGCGACCACTGGTCGCCACGTGGAAGTAAAGAACCACTACGTGTTGCCACGTGAAACTAACCCGTGGTATGACATAGGACTCCATTCTGATCAAGTTAGTATGTGTTGAACTGTCGGAGTGAAAGGTCGGGAGATTGAGTGTAAGAATGTCAATGTGAGATTGCTTGACATGAAAGGGAAAAACCAGACGACGACGTTTGAAGCCAAGACTAGCCAGGCCAGTCTGTATAACAACAAAGTGATGAACCAGATACATCGGTGCAGACTCTGGTCAGTGACTGCGTAAGGAACCTGCATGTTGAAGTCTGCGTGATGTGGTGTGTGAAAGCTGTTTCTTAGGACAACGACTGGACGATGATGTAAGTTTTAACATGTCAATAAACTGATGTTTCGTACGGCTAAGTCGGTGTCGGCTTGTACCAGTTATGTCAACGAAGAATGTGTGGTAAGAACATTCACGACACACATATAAGCATCACCAAGACAACGAGAAAGTAAAACCCACATATCGCAAGTGGGAGTTCTAGAACGGAAATAACCGTGCATAAACAAGAAAGCAACAGCAAGATGATATCATGCAGATTCCGTTAGAAGTCGGTAGCATAAAATACAGTTGCTGAAGACAGACATGTAAGAGGCGAGGTCTGCTGAGAGAGCACAGTTGTTGAAATCATCTAGAAATTACATCAGTTGCACCGCCACAGCCGAGTGTTTGAAAGTTTAGACAACAGAGCAACAGAAAGGCGATTCCAGAAACTGTCACGTACATGTAGATGTAGATTCCATTGAAAGTCGGAGGCATAACATACCGTTGCTGAAGACATACATGTAAGAGGCTGTATCTTGTAAAACGCATAGTTACTGGAATCATCGAACTGTTGCGACAAAAATTCCCCAAAATTGCCAGATTAGGAAGGTTGGGGGAAGGCCAAAGATGTCAAGAATATTTTGCCGAGATTGTAAATAGGCCAGCATCAGACATCCCAGGGGAAACAGTAGAAAAATGTGTCCAACTCCGAGAAATGGATAATGGGTCACTCGGCGTTGGAGAAATAGAAATCGCAATTAGCAGTATGAAGAACGGGAAAGCAACAGGTTAAGACTGAATTAGGGCTGACATGGTAAAGGCAAACAATTTGCAAATATTTAACAAAATATGGATACACGAAGTGGTCCCAACAGACTGAAAAAATGGTGTAATCATCCAAATACCCAAGAAAGCAGATCTCTCACACTGCAACAAGCGGAGATACCTAACGTTATTGTCTGTACCCGGAAAGGTACTCTAAAGGAAGGGTGGTACACAACAAAATGAAGACCTTGGAAGATTAGGCAGGATTTAGGAAAGGAAGATCATTTTTCATTCTCAGAAATTTTGTGAAACAAGCCTTAGAATGGATTGCGACATTATGTATAAACTGTATAGACGTTGAAAGAGCCTTTGACAGTCTAGATAGAACAATGATGTGGAGGATTCTTACTGCGTATGGGTTACCAGATAAAGTTATAAACTTACTGAAAGGATTCGGTAAAGGATGCCAATGTAAAGTGAAAGTAGGACTCATAGAAACAGAATACTACACGGTAACATCAGGAGTCCGACAAGGGTGCATTCTGTAGCTTTTCTTGTTTCTCGTGGTGATAGATTGTTATCAAAAATACAAACACAGGCACACGGATGGTTCTTTAATGGAACCCTCTGGAACACCTGAAACATTTGAATATTGCAGATGTTATATGTGTCATCAGCCAAAGTAAGGAACATCTAGAGAGAAAAAAAAAACAGATAGGATCACAGAAATAGCAAAACAGACAGGGTTAAGGATCAATGTCAATAAACAACATTGCTGGAGATAAACCCCAAAAGTGAAAGACCTAGAGTAATATGCAATGTAGGTTTGGAATCAGTAACTGACTTTACTTACATGGGATGCAATTTCAAATAGTAAGATAGTGGCTGAAATCGATCAGAGAATTGAAAAGGCAAATGTTGCTTACAACAGACTTCAGAGACAACAGAGATCAAACATCTACAGCACTAAAACTAAACTCAGGATATACAAAACATGCGTTAGGACAGTTCTCCTCTATTTAGCGGATACTTGGAAAACAGGCAGAAAAAAAGAGATCATGCTCAGAGGTTTTGACGGACGACTTCTCAGAATATTGTTAGGGTTCACACGAGAAGATAAAATCAGCAATTCTAGATGACAACAAATGTTAGGAGTAGAGATTTAGAAATTCCAAAAAAAAAAAAAAAAAAAAAAGTAGATGGATGTGGATTGGACACATGCTCAAAATAAAAAAAGAGAGACGGCTAAAACAGGTAATGAACTGGACATCATAAGGACAGCCATGGAAGAGACAGGCCCAGAGGCGAACCGTTGAAGTTGAGCTCAAGGTTAAGCAAAGAAAAAAAAAACTGAAGTTTGAAAAACAGGATGGCTCAGGATTAAATCGAGTGGCGACAGTTTGTCTGTGCTTATGTGCCTCTGGGTGCGATGGGGATTGATTGATTAAATGCATCGAATGAATACGTCAAAACCGGTTAGAGAATGAACCTGCGAAAAGCGATTTAAATGTAATCATTTGTAAAAACATAACGTAAAGCGTACTTACATGTGGTGAAGGAACATTTATACGAGTCTTACTTTTTTGCGCTTGTGTAAAGTCCAGTGACTCTGGGTTTTCCAGCTTGACAAGAACATCAGCGTGCATTCTGCACAGATCCTGATAATTGTAGTGTTGATAAACGTACGTCAAAGCTTATGCGAACTTCTATATTGTATACATTTTAAGTAAAGGTAAAAAAAAAAGTAAAGTCGGGAGATATAAAATAGCGTCATTGCACACGGTTATAAATCATAAGTGCTCTGCAACCAGTACGGACAGCTGATAAGAAAAAGTCCGTCTGTGTCGCCGTTCGCACGTAACTCCGTAGCTACAGCGACGTTCCTCCATTCACCCCAGAGTGTCAACTCTGGTACCTATTTCATTGAGGCTGGGTAAACCCCGGGAACAGCCCGATTTCGAAAACCGACTATGGCTCCAGCTAGTCGAAGCTGGATTTGAAAGCAAGCCTTCTATCGACTGCGCCAGAAAACAATTGCTCTATAATGATGTATCTATATGTCTTCTTTTTCTTTAGCCAAGCTTTCCCTCTCTGATTTCCGGGAAGTAAAGTTGGTGAGTAAATGAGTTAGGAAATCGGATGTGTCGGCCGACAAGTATTGCAACTTTGCAATGGGGCAACGCAAAAGAACGAAAAGAAGAAGGATATTTATCCTTAAAAGGTGTCCTTATAAAAAGTCAGAATCCACTTTAAATGACATACTCAGATAGGTAGACCGGGCTGTACAGCTTGCTTAAGATAATGTCGGTACAACTTACGAAAGTCACCCCATCATGTCGGGCGCAAGATTTCCTAACCGATTTCTGAAGACACTGGTGTTCCTCGCTTTGAACTTGTTAGGCAACTCCACAACTGACAACAGCCACCGCTAACCAGCGTAAAAATCTAAAAACATCTATGACTGGATTTGCAAAAACTGTCGAACCGTCGGCTCTTAACCCCCCTGCTGCAGTACTTCTTCCTTGTAACAAGCGCATTCGGCACCTGATACCACCTCATAGCAACAACAACACATTCCAGAAACAACAGTCGTTCACGATTTCGTCTGGGAGACAGTTTGTCGACCGCGTCGAACGAACCCGAGACACTTTTCAGCACGCTGTCTACAGACGCCGAAGGAAAACATACTAGACCGCGTGTTTGTCGCTGTTTACGTGGATACATCATAGACCACGTGTTTGTCACTGTTTACGTGAATAGATCATAGAAAATGTGTCTGTCACTGTTTACGTGAATACATCATAGATTGTGTGTTTGTCACTGTTTACGTTTAAAAATTCTAGACCATGTGTTTGTCACTGTTTACGTGAATACATCATAGACCATGTGTTTGTCATTGTTTACGTAAGTACTTCATATACTATGTATTTTTCAATGTTTACGTGAGTGCATCATAGAATATGTTTTTGTCACTGTTTACGTGAGTACACCATAGACCATGTGTTTGTCACCGTTTACGTGAGGACTTTATATACCATGTTTTTCTCATTGTTTACACCAGTACATCATAGACCATGTGTTTGTCATTGTTTACGTGAGTACATCATAGACCATGTGTGTGTCACTGTTTACATGAGTACATCATAGACCATGTATTTGTCACTGTTTACATGAGTACATCATAGACCATGTATTTGTCATTGTTCACGTGAGTACATTATAGACCATGTGTTTGTCATTGTCTACGTGAGTACATCATAGACCATGTGTTAGTCATTGTTTACGTGAGTACATCATAGACCATGTGTTAGTCATTGTTTACGTGAGTACATCATAGACCATGTGTTAGTCATTGTTTACGTGAGTACATCATAGACCCGCATCGTATACCATGTGTTTATCACTGTTTACGTGAGTACATTATATACCATGTGTTTGTCATTGTTTACGTGAGTACATCATAGACCATGTGTTAGTCATTGTTTACGTGAGTACATCATAGACATTGTGTTTGTCACTGTTTACGTGAGTACATCATAGACCATGTGTTAGTCATTGTTTACGTGAGTACATCATAGACATTGTGTTTGGCATTGTTTACGTGAGTACATCATAGACCATGTGTGTGTCGCTGTTTACGTGAGTACATCATAGACCATGTGTTAGTCTTTGTTTACGTGAGTACACCATAAACCAGAATCATATACCATGTGTTTATCACTGTTTACGCGAGTAGATCATAGACCATGTCATTCTCTACGTGAACGGATGAAAAATGTTGGTGTCTGTAGTATAAGAGGCAATCGTGATCTTTGGGCAGGAACTCAGGGTTTAACTCATTTCCACTATAGTCGAGGGGCTGAATCTAAAGAAAATTGATAATTATGTTTGAGGGAGTTAAACAGAGACATGTGTAAGAGATGTAGTTCAACTAATAATTCAAACACAGTAGGCTAACAACATATCAACTGTCTGCGATAGAAGACTGCAATGCCATTATTCAATCTTTGGGGAGAAACATTTGGTGCGTTGTTTTCTACAAACTTTTTTCTGTGCGAAACAGAATAAAACATTAACTGGCATGATAATAATCAGGAACAAGAAAAAAACCACTTTGTAACAAGCGTGTAGTTTTAGATGACTAAGTAGGGTTGTTTCCTTCCTAATCGGAGTGAATCTACCTGAGAGGTGAATGATCCACATTTTACCTACATTACACCCGATCTTTCAAACATGTGTACGCAAAAGTCAAGTTCTTGAACAAGACCACGGGACAGAAGTGGACGAACACCGATATTTTTTCGCCGGAGATTACAGACAAAACAAAAACACTAAGCAGGAATCAGAGCATCTCTAACAAGATAACTATATTCATGCATTACCTGCTAGGAGATTTCTTCCCAGTAATTTGCTCATACATTCTGTTAATTCCTTTTCCTTTGCTCGGTGCATTTGCCGTGTCATGTACATCTCAGGTAATTGCATTTTCAACTTTACAGCAAACGGGTCTCCCCGAAGTTTCCAATGTTCCTGTGCTAACGAAAACCTCAAGGAATCCCTATCGCTGTCCTTTGCGAGATAACTGACAAGATACACACTGACTGCAGGTTCAGCAAAGCCACCAATAGAATATGCAATTCATAAACAGTTCTGCGCTGCCGATGGAAGCAGTTACAAACGATCAGTAGTTTTGCACACGTAAATGGTCGCATAATGCTCATCCAGTTCTTCGATCACAGCCTGCACTCCATTTTCTGCATCTGCTTGTTCAGAACAAAAGAAACGTTGGGCACAATTGAGCAAAAAAATTAAAAATCACAGTGTCGCGCCATGCACTCAGCTCAGTAGTTAGGCGACGAGATTTTTTCATTGCAGGCTAAACATAGACGAAAATGCAACGTTTACTCCAACGGAAAGCTCTGGTTGTTCGCCCGCTTCTGAACATTAGTCTTATTCCAGAATCTAAGCGTTTTGCCGGTCTAGCTAATTGTATGGAGACCGTTGTTTCCTCGCATCTTTAGCAGATGCTCTACGAATTCAAAGAAAGAGTCCTAATTGGTATGTCGGATCCTGCACGGGAAATTACAAGGAACAGCTATACAAAATATTTACCTCGGCGTAAGACAAAGCTAGATCGCTTTCCTGGAAGTCTAAACACACACGATCTCTACTGCAGCGTGCAAGTCCTTCAAGAATTAAGAGCATATAATTTAATTAGACAGTCTCAACAAAGGCGGTTTTTGCAGTTTGTGTATGGTATAATCCATAAATGCTGCAACATGGTGCTCGAAGTGAAACCTGCCATTATATATTTTTAATATGGGAAAGGGTGAGGCTCTCACGCCCACCACCAAATTTGAAAAGTATAAGAGGCATCCATGTAAAAAAAGAATATATTAAAAAAAATGTTTTTTAGTGTTAAAAGATCTGAAATAGTGAAACATACAACACGCGATATCAGCGCCAATGCGGAATAGCCGCGTGACCTTGTGTGAAAGTCACATCGCTCAGGGCCGACCTGTCAGTGGTGAGGTAGGCTGGAGGTCGACCAATCAGAAGCGAGCTAGTGTGTACCAGTGTCTAGATGGGGAGAGCAACCTAATAATTCTCAAATATTGTGGGTTAAGGTCCTGACCAAGCCGGACATTGAAAAAACAAATGACCTTGGCTTCCAAATCGACCCAGTCTGAAATGGGTACCGGGTTAATCCTGTGAAGTAAAGGCCGCCGGCGTAACACTGCCCACATTACCCCCAAAGTTCCGATTGGTCTATGAGAAAGTATAGCTGTAGCCCGATATGCCTAACAGCCTGAAGGTGCAGAAATCAGTACCCTGCATTACTTTTAGTCTTTATTTGGTACATCCATGTCTCCATAAACTCACTCCATATTTCTAATATTCCTTTTTTGGGGGCGGGGGATGGGGAGAAGAAAGGAAGGGGGGGGGGGGTGGGAGTTTAAGATGGTGAGTATATGCACGTTGTGACAAATTTAATTTCGAATATTTGTTTAGGCCTCTCAGATATAACAATGTCTTTGTTTCATGTCCAACAATTTAGCAGCAATGGATGTTTGACAGCAGATGTTTGTGTCGACACGGCACAGTTACTGTCAGTGTGGCCCAGGCTGGTATTTAGACATTTACTGGATATCATTATAGACAACATGGGCAGACTGTGCAATGAAAATTACCTACACGACATCTCGCATGAATAGTCATGTATCTTATCGATGACGAAGATGATGTATATTTATTGACAGTGACGAGGAAAAAAGACCCTATTAATGCCGGTAGCCATTCAAGCGTATGATATATGCATGTATGAAAGTTGTACCCCACCAGGACATCACACAAGCGATAAACAGCTGGTGACACAAAGTGCCACCATGAGGATGAGGATCACCCGTGGAGAGGTCCCAGAAATCCACTCCAGCCGTTTTGCCATATTTCAGGCCCGGCTATATTAGGGCACCCGCCAAAAGCCAGGGTGGGACTTCAAAGTAACTAAAAATTGCATCCGACATTGGGTGACGATTCAAGCGTATGATGCCAGACTTAGATGTTTATGTATCACCCGGACCTGCATTGGTGAAATGGTCAAATTTCTCGCTGGCAATCTTTATTTCCAAGCATATTTTAGGCTTCCTAAGACCTTAGGACTGAGAGGCAAGTTTTGTGGCCACTGTGACATCTAGATTAATGTAATACTCAAGACAGAAAGGGTAGATAAATAACCAGAGTAATTAAACTGTTGAACTTACCAGAATGGACCATCAGCGCCAGGAAAAAGGCAACTCTCAGCTAATGAACCAACAGAAAAGTGATCACAATATTTTAGTACATATTTTGTCAATTGTTCTCCTCAAGTGAGTAGTCTAACCTTTACCTTTGTATCTGTTTATACGGGTATCTACGGCAACATAGGTGCAGATATGTTTGCGGACATTGCGATTACCATGACAGGGAAGATGTTGACAGAAGTGATGTGAATGCATTGCGTGGTGCATATTGTCAGAACGGCATCGACATAAGGTATAACGTCCTATCAATATCTAGGATAGAGGAAATGGGGATGAAGCCTGGAACTGCTTGAAATTATACTTCTCTAAGTGCTCAGGACGCTCAAATAGTTAAAATAGAACAGGCAAGATCAGTGTTTTTGCTTTTGTCAAGCTACTGGGCAAAGATCGAAGTACCTTTGGATTTGGGACTAGCGATGTTATCAATGAATGAATAAATACAACAGTAAAGTACTGATATCAATGTACCCGGAAGAGTTACATACGTGCTCCGTCCTAATTTCCAGTGGCCAACGAAGATTTCTTATACTATCGGCGTCTTATGTTTTGTTTACATGATCCTAGACAGCTTTCACTACGTCAGCTTATCGTAAAATAGGTCATTGCCCAGATAGCAGCGGGAGTCACTGTGGCCGAGCGGCTAGACGCTCGCCGCGGATCGGAAGGTCGTGGGTTGGCTCCCTGGCGAAGCCTGACTTTTTTTCAAAAATGACCTTGGCTCCCAGGTCGACCCAGCCTTGAGTGGGTACCCGGGAAAGTGAAGGCGGCCGGCGTGGTGCTGACCACATCAATCATCTTTAGCCGACTGGTCTATACAAATATAGGTCTAGCCCTATATGCCCTATACGCCTACCAGATAGCAGCTAAAATATCAGCCTGGTTTTTACTACAATCCAATGATATGCCACCTATCTAAGTCTTATAAAACGATGCTGTGACGACTGTGTTCACTAATCTCAAAAGAACGTTATAGAGAGTTATGGATTTATGTTTATGTTTATATTTCTGTTTCTTCTGTTTTTTTTTTTTTTTTCAGCTATTGACCTCTAAAGTAATTCTCGCCACTTTTCGTGGAACATGCCTGTCTTTACCGTTCTCAACATACTCTGTTGAGCAGTTACAATTGAGACCTCTATGTACAGTTGTTTCTCAATCCAGTGGAAGGCGGTTATGACTGCCTCTTTCTCTATTCTGAAACTACGCGTTGTGGTATCATATGCCAGGCTTTGTTGCACTAATCGACGTCTATTTGCTTTTGCTATCACCCCCATGCACTTTGTCCGCCTCTCAACACACAGCCAATTCACGACAATTCCCACCAAGGTGATCTGATTATCTATGCATATGCTTCGGTGTTGAGAGAGAAGAGAATTGTCAGCGGGAAGCCAATGGAAAATCTTTAGTGCAAGACAGCCTAGCATATGACACCACATCTAGCATGAGAACAGAGGTGGAGGCGGTAACTGAAACTCTCAGGTGACTAGAGAACAAGATGCATACACATGTGTTAATTATATACGAGAGACGACGACACCAACAACAGCAACAACAACAACAACAACAACAACAACAACAAAAGCAAGCATATAAAAAGAAGAATACACAGGTAAAAGTCTACTCAACATTGATCTCTTACTAAATGAAGATGGCCATACGGTGAGTGAGACAGTTTTTTACTAGAGAAAAGTCTGCATTAAATTAAGTCAGATCTTTAAAAAAGGATGTGTACGCTAAATTATTAATAAAATAATTAATAAAATAATTCATTAATTATTTAAATAATTATCTTGGACAAAGAAGATGAGAAAAATTGTCATCTCTAAAGATCTGAACATCAAGGAAGATTGGCTAATAAACAGCATCCTTTCTCGAAAGCTGAAATATTTTAGTCATATCAAGCGCCACTACGGATTGGGAAAAAATAACAGCAGAAGGCATGTTACCAGGAAAGAGGGGCAGGGGCTGACCGACACAAAGATGGGCACATGCTATAAAAGACTCCTTGAGTGTGAAAGTACATGAGGCGGGAGAACTGGCGAGAGACTGAGTTTCTTTCAGGCAGACTGTGATGAGAACGACGTTTTGCAAAGAACCTGCTACATGATGATGAAAAAAATTAAAGTGATGGTTAAAGACCAAACTTCAAAAGTGGACGAACAGCCATAATTTTTCGCTGGAGATAACCTGCGAAAGCAAAGAAAAAGAACAGATCTTCATTTACCATGTTCACCTTAGCCTCTCTTGTCCGTTAACTGACGGATATAAAGTCTCGACCTTGTCTACACTCGAAAGTTGTTTTCTACATAGAAATTCTGTCAGTTTATAAGCTGTTGTTGTCATGAAAACAGTGAGAATTATACGAATCTACAATATCGCATGTTTTTTTAAAGCAAGTATACTGTGAATTCACACCCTTTTTTGTTGTCAGGCAGTTCAGGTTGATTTTATAATAATTATGCGTGGATGTGAGAAAGAATGTAGAACAGTTGATCATTATCTGTATGTTTCTCTTTGTTTTTGTCACGGACCTTTCAGGTGCAAGCTGATGTTTTCCTCTCAGAGTTTTCTCTTTCACTTATCATCTGCTCATGTGGACAGAATTATAAGTACACAAAAAAACAAGGGTAGCACTTGTGCAGCGAGTTAACGAATGCCCGTCAGAACGAAGGTCTGACGTTCAAACCCGCAGTATAGGAAGTTTTTAACTGAACTACTACGGCTTCCAGCTTGGCATAGTCAATTTTAGTAGAGGTTAATTAAATGAGATTATTAGAACAAAGTTTATTATAAACATGACTACCTACGCCACACGACATGGATTATAAGAACAAGATTGTGGATAGACATGACTACCTACGCCACACGGCATGGATTATAAGAACACGGTTGTGGATAGACATGACTACCTACGCCACACGGCATTGCCTTTTGAGAAGAAGAAGAAAAGTGAAACAAGCTTATGGCCATAGACGAAGTTAGATGAAACTACATGTGTCAAAGTATACCCAGGTGCTGTGATGTTGGTTTTTAAATCAGTGGTGAGTAGTCAGCTGGGTGCTGTAGCGATTGTCTGTTCTAAATGTTCTGCTGAACTTCAAAACTCAAACAAACAAACAAACACACAAAAAAACTGTTTGGTGTAACTTTTTTGAAATCTGGTAAATAGCCTTTTAATAAACATGTCTTTCTCAGAATTTTTTTTTTTTTAAACCCAAAAGAAACATCAAGTTTTCGTTTAAATTTTTTTTTTTTTTCAGGTAGACGCTAATTCAAAGCATACAATCAGAGGTTGTCAGTAGTGAGGAAAATTAAAGACTGGCTTGTTGGATTCTGTACTCGATCTCATTGTCCAGTCTGATTTTGGGGGTGCTTCCAAGAGATTTGAATTCGCCCACCTGTTTTGAGGAATGTTCGTTAACTTTTATATAATGAGGTTTTGGTGTTCCCTGTTTATGATTTCTGTCACATCTCCCTCCCCCCCCCCCCCACTTCCCGATGTAGATCTTCATGTTGTTCTTGAGACAAATAATGTGCTTCTGTAGTTGTTCCGTTTTACAGTAGAATATGTGTTGATCGTCAGCAAAGAGCAGCTGGCCTAAGTAGCTTGGTTGGTAGCTAGTTAGTGTTGTTTCTTCTATTTTGGTGCTGCAGTCTATATAAATTATAAAGCAAAATTGTGAGAGAACACATCCTTGTCTCACTCCAGATGTCATTGGAAACCACTATACGGTTCCAACTTTTGTTCTTATGGCACTTTGACATTTGGGCAGATGGGGGAGTGTTCAGATTGACACCTACTATTTCATGATGATATATTTGCATAGGAGATGTATCTTGAAATGTAAAGTGTGGTATACAGTGTTAAAACAGCCGTGATTTGGGCACAGCTTTGCATTACCAATGCAGTGTTTGTCCAGTAAAATAGAAAGTGCATGCATGAAGCAGTGATGGAATAAATTAAGAGACACTGTTGTCCATCGAATATTCTAAAATTTAGCATAGTGTTTGTGATAACAAACCAAATTATTTTGGTGATTTTTTTTTTCATTTGATAATTAAATAATAATATTAATAATGAAAATAACAATAATAGGGAAAATAATAATTTTAAGAAAAATGAAGTATGCCATAATTTTAGTAAACGGTTTTATTCTTCTAGATTTGTAAGATTTAAACTAATAAAGCAAATCTCATACTTGTTCCGATCCTGTCGAAGGGAAAATCAGCTGACATGTCCGCAGTTCCATGTAAAAAAACTAGTGAACAAACAATTAGTTCCGGCACAATGGAGGTTTATGCGCACGCAGTGAATGCCTACAGCAGTTTCTAGAGGCCCTAAAGCCAACAGTCGCCAGTTGAAACGCAGTCTGTCATTGATGAAAGTAGTCAGACACGATAAGTTATCTATGCACACGTATTACATAAGGTGTTTTGTCAGCCCACACTTAAACCGACGACCGGCCATATTGAACACCACAACTCAACCGCTGCACGAATGAAAAGCATTACACACGAAAACTTGTCGACTACAGTCAATATTTAAAAACTGCATTAGCAAAGCGCTATGGGAAGCAAAAATAACTTTAAATCCTAACATTATGTCATGCCCAGTCCTCCATTTTAGACCGGAAGTAATTTAAAATAATAAAAGTAACTTATAATCTGAGCAGTTTCTAACGACTGGCCTGGTCATGCGACCCTAGACTCTCGGGTTTCAAGTCACATCTGTCCTCCACCGCTAATGTAGTAAGTAAAAAGTAAAGGACCCTTTTCCCAACCTTTCATCATACCGGGCATATAGGGCTAGACTTGTATATTGTAGACTCGGTAGGTAATGTGGTCAACATCTGGGAGCCAACGTCTTTGTGTGGTGTGTGTTGTATGTGTGTGTGTGCTTATGTGGGTGTGTATGTTTGGAGAAAAAGAAGTCCGGATTCGTCAGGATCCAAACCCACGACCTTCCGATCCACATGCGAACGTCTAGCCGCGACACAACGGTGA